TGTAAATCTACCGTTATAATATTCTTATAATAATATTTACATATTATTTTATATTTTCGCAAATGTAAAATATACAAGTTGTCCCTCAAAACTACGGATATCCTTTGAGAGATAACATATTCTCTGATTAATTCAAAATAAAGTTTTTCTCAACAAAAATATTGACAAAAATCATTATTTCTAATTTTCTAATTTACGTTATATATTTTTATAATAAAGCTTGAAATTGAAATTTTACTTTACTACAGTAAAGTTTACTTAAAATTAACTCAAGGATATGGCTTTATTAATATTTATTTATCTTTCTCAAGTTCAATTTAGAAAAGCCCTTTATTTTCAGTCACTTAAAACTCGGAAAATATCGGGATGTCGATATTTTAACTCATCATCTTCAAGTTGATCAGAAAAATTATTGTTAAAAAAATTATCTGCGAATTTGGGAAATATCTTGTATTGTTATCTATCATATACATATATTTTGTACTATTCAAAATTAATTCTTAAATTGTAAAATTTGTTGATTCGCGGAAAAGCACGACAAAAGCTTGTTTTTTCTTTCCTTTCTCGTTATTTGTTTCACTCATTTATTAAACACTTTACACGCGAGCATATTCGCATAATTGTTACGTTGATAGCAAACATTTTGTTTCTTATGTTTCTGCATAGCCGTAATTATTATGCGCATTCTATGTCACATTTTTTGCAATATTGCTGTAGCATAAAACATGCTGGCGACTGAATAATTTGAATTTTTTCGTATCTCAGCACATTTGTACATTGCTTTTTGTTTCGTTTGTCGTACGTGACTTGTAATTATATTAACTTGGTCGGATTTCAAATTATTCTGTAAAAACAGGAGCACAGCAGAAAGGTGAATTTTCGTGATATTGCGATGCGCAAATTTCGCATTTCACCATAGTCGACAAACTTTCGCAATTGGCATCGCGTGAAAGTGCGACATGGTTTGTGAAGTACGTAACGTTAAAATTTACGAAGAATCTGGACTTTGTTTTATGAGTTTTACTTTCAATTACATTTCACAAAATAAAAATCTTTTACTGTAAACCTATTTGAATGATTGAAAAATTTGGTACGTTAATATCACAAATATATTAAAGATTGTTAGAGAAAATAAATAATTGTTGTTCACAAATATTGTCGAACAAACAAATTTAATATAAAAAGAATAATTTAACAACAGAAAGTAAACCACAGTAAGCACTTAATTCAATACATTTATAATTTGTAAACAATTATATGTTTTGTTTAAATATTATTAAACTTTGTAGCGCTATTGTATCAGGCTGCTATTTGACTAATCTAATCTAAATGTACGTTCACTGTAATATGTTGTAAAAATTATATTGTACGGAAAGTGTCATGTTCCTTGTAAATACATGCCGTTCGTTATATTTTATAGCAAACGAATGGTTCATAAAAATTGATTGTGACAACGTGGAGAATCTCGAACAAACGCGCTTCCGCAATGTGATTTACGAGATATACCGACGTGAAATTTCTCTCGCATAATTCAGAGATACTTAATTCTTTAAACGCGACCCACGACTTCCTTTGGTGAAGTTCAAGTGAATTTAATTCCTAGTTTTACAATTGAAATAGCTCGCGCCTCTTCGTCGGCTACCATCGGACATCGTTTCTGAATGATTTTATTGATAGTTTGATCGCGAACAGATATATTTTTTAACAGTATGATCGATAATAGAACTTAAACAATTTGAATGTTATGAACGACGATAACATCTTCATTATTCTCTACGTTATTCGAGAAAACAGAAGCGACAAGATTATCTGAGTACTTTAGCGAAAAATATTTGAGATTCTTTCAAGTTTCGATGTCGGAAAAATTGCTCTTGAATATATAAGATAATTGCAAAAAAAAATTATTTTCTGTAAGAATCATTATTAACACACAATTAGATTTTTTAATACAAAAATGTAAAAAAAGATCTATTATTAAAAAGAAAAGTAATTAATTCCTAACAGAAAATGGAAGAGCTCTTGAGCATGCAATAGCTTTTCTTCGCATTTGTCATATTATTTTATTATTCAAACATTATATTAAATTTAATATATAGAAAAGAAAATAATCTACATGTCAAAAAGATATTGGCATAAATGTTACATACACTGTAATTTAACATCAAGAGAATAATATATCTAGGATTGAGAAGGTAATTCTTCATTTAAAAGATAAGTCTCTTTCACTAAATTATAATGAAACGATATAAGAGTCCCAAAATTGATTCCGCGCACGTTTAACTGTAGTGCTATCTGTCTACGAAGATCGATTTTTCTAGAGACCTTTTATGGGACACCGATCTGCAGAACACGTAGAAGTTAACGAGACTCGTGTTCTGTCGACACTCACGCTTATAATTAGTGTCGCCGTTTTCATCGTCTGGAATATCGTCGTTAACGGATAGCAGTGATATTGCTCGACAATTATTCGTGGCGCGATGCGGCGTCGCTTTTCTCGTCAGTGCATTGTTGCTAGCCAAGAAAACATTACAGTAACAACAAGTGACGGCATCGTCAGCATAGCCGTCGAAGAATGGACGAAGTGTGCGATAAACGAAGTCATCATCGCTGTCAGTGCGCTTGTCGACGCGCGCTGCGACGCCGGCGTCGGCGTCGTCGGTTACCACCGCCGTTTACTTTCCGCGATTGTCGGACGGGTCGCGCAGTGATTCGCGTGTGAGGTACGAAATCCAGTCAATAATAATTGAAAATTTATTATACTTTGAAATTAAATTGTTTATTTTGTATGGAAAAATATTTTTATAAAAACGATATAATCAAACTGGATAAACTATTAAGCTTTTGTATCATTTAAAATTTACGCATAATTAAAAAGAAATTTTTTATTTTATGCTAATATTTTTATTATATCAGAATGAAAAAAGAGAAATTTGGAAAAACTTTAAAAGAAATGTGTTAGTTATCACTTTATTGATGTTTTAAAATCTCGATATTGAAAAGATATCTTGACTGAAAAGGATGCAGTTATCAGAATGAGTTTAAAATGGAAATTTTTCAACATAAAAGAAGATTCAATTTGAGAATATAAAGCACATTTGAACTCACATGATGAAACTTTGTTCAAAACATTATTTTTGAGAGCAAAAGTAAGAAGAAAGTAAAAAATACAGAGTTTACTTTTATCTATGAAGAGAGATTATTTGTTTAGAAAATGTTTTACTCAGTTTTGGCACTTGCATATATTTTTCTCAATATCAAGTTCTCAAACAAAAAAAAGTAAAGTTTATATCTTATTTCTGTTCGCATACTGTATCGCAATGTCGGAAATGATACGGACTTTATCATTGCTTATTGACTGGCCTCTCCGATAGATTCGGTCGTCGGCTTATTGGATGGAAGACGACGACGACGAAGGCGGCGACGACGACGCGACGAGAGATGCCTGGTATCGTGGTGTTCCGACGACGCTGGAGCGTCGGCAGCGACGATCTCGTCGTGCCCGGCTTTGTTTTATTCATCTTTCATCTCATATGGTGAGTAAAGCAGTGATTACAAAAGATAAGAAATGCGAAATAAGAGAAAAAATCGAATACACATAGAAAGAACGCGAATAGTTGCTAGATGTAAGTGGTGTAAGTTAATTTTTTTCTCTTTCGTTGTTTAGATATTTGTTAGTGTCGTTACAAGTAAAACATAACAACACTTAATTGTGTTTTCTATAAAAATTAGCTTATACCATTTCGCTCTATCCAGTTTTTTCTTCCGAAATTAAAAATAAATTTAAACAATTTTTAGACGTGTAATTCCTTTTATCTCTGCAATGCAGATGCATATAAAATTCAGCACGTAAGATTCTTAAGATTGTAGATTTGGGAATTAAAATTCAGAATAAGAGTTTTTAATTTTTGGCGAAATAAGTTCAAGAGATATAAACGTATATCATATATTTTATATATTTCATATCTCATATATTTCTTTTCTCTTTTTTTTCCCGAATGTCATTTGTCAGATCTTGAATTTAATCAACAATTAATATCACATTCAATCAAATAGAAGCAATTAGCAGTTAAAAAACTGCGCCAAAAAAAAATTTCAAAAATTTTTACACATGTCTTTTCGCTCTTTGCGTGGAAAAATCGAGAACGTGTACTACTAGTCAACGCGCGTTTACGGCGCATTTACTCGTTTGAATACAATTTCCGCCCAGAGCGATTTTTACATAATCTAAAGGCCGTAAAGTGTGATTTTACGCTACGTTATAAATTCAGTCTGTTCGGTAAATCAGTTGCTTGTATATGTAGGCGTATTAGACCGTCTATATTTTTTTATGATAAAGTTACCAGAAAACGAGAGAGAAAAAGAATAGTTATGCAAAATATTTTATTTTATTAAACATCTTTTTTTTTAAATTAATATCTTATAGGTAAAAATTATATTCTGCGTTTAAGCAAATAAAATTTGTTATTCAATTCTTTTCTAAAAGTTTGCTTCCAAATAAACTTTATTTTTAATTATTCAAGCAATTAACGAGAGAAATTACGCTTCTTGTACACATTATGCACAGAACACCGAATTCTATTCATAAAATTTATTGACTCTCGCAAGTTCAATTTTACTGGAATATTATTTGCCCTACCACTTCTAGGATGAATGGGTACTATTGCGAAGATAGCATAAATTTCGTCTTCGGTACCTCTCGACCTACATATTCGATTTTGCGCCAATTAGGAATTTCCTCGCGAATTCCGTTCAATTCATTTCCGTTTCGATCTGCTAATTGATTGCACGAATATCGGCATGTATCGCAAACGCGCATGCAAGCCACCGGATCATCGGCGAGCTTAAAGCTGCTGCTCCCTTTCTGGGAAATATGGATTTATATTTGCGAAAATAAAGTTCCACGTTTGTGAAAGAAATCTACTGCGTACATAAATAAATGCGTACATCTATTGCTCTGTTTTTAACCATTTTTAGCGTGATGCGTACACAGACACACACAATTACAAAACTTAAATTAGAAAATTTATACGAGTGATCCTGTTACAGAGACAATTGTTTTAAAATTAAAGGATAAAATTTAAGGATTTAATTTTTTTATAGAAGGGGTAATCAAAAAGTATTCGGACTGAATTTATTTTTAAAAAAACTACAAGGTTTGAAATTTAATCTCCTTCAAAGTAATATTCCCACACACTTATAATTAGCACAGTGCTATTTCCATCGTTGGAAACATTTTTTGAAGTTATTTTCTGTGAAGGCGGATCAATCTAAGTTATCTTATGAAGGGGATTAAGTTTCAAATCTGTATGTGTAAGTCTTGTAATTTTTAAAAATAAATCCAGGATACTTTTTGATTCATCCCTCGTATAAAAAAATTGAACCCCTAAACTTTATTCTTTAATTTTAAAATAATCGCCTCTGTAATTAAGCCATTATTTCAAAAGCATTCTGTAGACGAAAGTATCATAAATTCTGACCGCTTATCCGCGGTACGTGTCTTGCTTCTTTCGGTCATACGCGCGCTTTCGGCGGAACACCTTTGATGTAACGCTCGGGAATCCGCGGTGCACAAATTCGCGAGCACGCTGTCTCGTGTCGCATGTCATGCAGTATTCAACACGATTAACACGACGACAGCTTCGACGAGATTGCGTGCGGCAACGAGCGAGCGCGAAAATAGTGATATGCCGCATAAAACGGGGGATAATTTTCAAGAGTACGAGCGTGGCCTTGATTATTCTTGGAACGGGGTATTGGTTTGTTATTTTCAGAGTTTGTTGTGTGTATGAGCGCCTGGATTAAAGATCTCCTGCTCTGTCATTTCCGAATCCCGCCCTGTACCGAAAATAGTCCCGCGCGTACTTTTTACGATATGTACCCAATTTGGAATAAAAAGCATAGGAAGTTGAATCAAAAAGTACCAGTATAATCATTATTAAAAAATAAATACTTATCATCAAACTATAAATAATAGCTCATTTTTCTATATAATTATCATGTTTTTCAATATACTTGTAGAAATACTGCAGCTTTTTCATGAAAAAGAAAATCTTTTAGCTGGTTAGGAAATTAATTATGCACCATAGATTTAATCTCGTCTCATTGTTAGAAATGTGTCTTGTCACATTCTCCATAATTTAGATCTAAATATGATGACACCGTTAGATTACCATGCTTTTGAAAGGAGATTTAAAAGGATTTACATTGTGGATATGGCCAGACGCTTCTCTAACAATGACGAGTTTAAAACTGCAGAGCATATAATTAAAGTCATGATGCATAGCCAGATAAATCCAACCCAAAGGTTTTTTCTCGAGAAATTGGAAAACCGTTGGATCACTGAAAAAGGTGCGCCGAAAAATATGGTAATTATATAGAAAAATAAACTATTGTTTGAGATTTTATCACGAACACGTATTTTTTAATAAAAATATTTTTATGGAAACTTTTCAACCGATATAAATTCGTTTTATAAATTCCATTTTGTTCAAAGCTGCAGACTCATAGAATAATTTAATTATTGGCTCAATAAGATGCTTCTGCAATCGGCTTTTATTTTCTATATGCATTTTCCATATGACGCAGTCATTGTTTTTCAAGAAAAGTCGGTCGCGCGAAAAACGCTTTTCTCGTGTATTATTAGCGATGAAAGAGTCGATTCTCTCTCGCATCTCGTTCGCGACGTGCAGGTTTAACATATGCTGAGGTCGTCTAATAATTGCAAAATACCATCAACAATTTTATTTTTTTTTATTAAATTTTATAACTATATGTTATATATATGTATGTATATATGTATAATATACACACACGCTACTTTAAACGATCAGACTCTTGTGATTAATGTAATTGGTTTTTTAATAATATTTGTGACAGACTATCGCCATTCATACATGTAATTTATGTAATTCATACATGTAATACATGCTGTGTAATTTTTTATTCAAATTGCGATAAATGGAAACTGCGGAGATGAAAAAATTTGGCAATTGTTCATTTTCATTTTAGTTGATCACGTAATTGCCATGTCTCTCATATATTACGATCAACAAATTGCTTGTTAGAGCCGATTTCATTCTTATCAAGTTACAATAAATATGCTCTACGCTCTTGATCATTATAATCAAGTTTTTATTTTCTTGAAACACAATTCATCGCAAATGAAAATTTCTTTGTTTTCTTTTCATCTGTTACCGTTTGATAACAATTTCATTTCACATTTTTATATCAATTTTAATTCTGCAGAAATATTTATTATTAAAAAGTTAATGTAATAATAAAACACATAATGTAATAATGTTAGAAATATTGCACACACGATTGATTCGAAATAATATTGAATCCTATCATCAAATTAAAATCACTAGTCTTCTTTTTTTGTATTCATAGAAAATAATGTATTTCTATTTTACACAAAATATTTTTATAATTTTTTTTTCAAATTAATGTGTATTTAGCTACAGACTAATATTTTCTTAATAATATGTATTTCTGATAGACTTAAATCAGTTTCGAAATGCATCTTTACAATTTTCAATAATTTTAAAATTTTTTAATTTAACTAATTCTAAAACACGAAGATATAATAAAAAGTCAGATAAAAATATCTATATTATTTGTCATATTTTTTAAATTATATTTTTTAATTAAACAAAAAATATTTTTGAAGACAGTACCTAACTATATTAAACAAAAATTTCACATTATATGTTCACGTTCTTTCGCATCGCGCGCGTGTTTACGTCCAAGTGCACCGATCAGCCCCGATCAGCTGACTGGCCGTCTCGACCGGTTCGGACGTTCGCCTTTCTCAGTCGCGTTCCCGTTCCCCGCGGATCAGTCGGTGGCTCGGTGGCGACGTGTTCGTCTCGCCTCTCGTGTGTTTACCCGGGTGTTGTATTATCATGCGTACATACGTAGGTTATGTCACAGTCATCCGCAAAACCAGAAAATGCCGAGCCTGATAGCATTCGGCAGACGATGGAGGGTCGGCAGCGACGATCTCGTATTACCCGGCGCCTCTTTGTTTTGTCTCCACGTTTTCGAGTGAGTGTATGCGTATTTTTTGTTTTTTTTATGCTCAACACCTTATTCCGGCATTCATTCTAATTGAATACAAGGGATAGATAATAAGAGTGAAGGATAGAAACAAAAGCTCATTCAAAAATTTCATGTGTAACAACGATGCAGTAGTATTTGCAAGATGAAATAAATTGCAATAAAATATGTGCTAAATGAGAATATATAATTTAATCGAGGGCAGATGAGAAAACGATTACTTGCACACTCTGATACAATCCTTTGTGCAACATAAAAATAAGTTATTTTTTTACGAATATGAGAAGAAGACTGATTTAATGATTTCTAATTTAATGAATTCAATATTACTTTGAATCAATCGTGTCTTTACAACATTTTCATATTTTACAATGTTATTATATGAACAATTTAAATCTTAATATAACTTCTGCTGAAGAAAAGTATTATTGTTGTTCTAAATATTGTTGTTTCTAAATTACTGCGCAGATTTCAG